CAGCTTGAGCCCATTTCTTTGCTAGTAACTTGGATGAAGAGACCAACCCTCCCACCTCGCTACAACCTCCTTTCAGGGAGCCGGAGAGAGCGATGAGGTCTCCCCTCAGCCTCCTTTTCTCCAGGCTAAACAGCCCCAGTTCCCTCAGCTGCTCCTCGTAAGACTTGTTCTTGAGTCCCTTCCCCAGCTTTGTTGCCCTTCTCTGGACCTGCACCAGCACCTCAACATCTTTGCTGTTGAAGAGTGGTGGGAGGACGTCTCGGGAGCAAGAGCTGCTGAAAGCTCCGACCAGAGAAATCCCAGGATGTGGGTGAGAAGTCCCTGTGCACTATGCAAAGAGCAGTTACGTTGCAGCGTTGATGCCGTGTTTTTCTCCCTGCCAGAGGTCAGCATCAAATCCAGAATTATCGATTGCTTGGCCTGTAGCTCAGACTGCAGATTGTACTGGAGCAGAGATCCTTATGCTACACCACGTTCAGTTCAGTCAAATTGTAAACCAGATGGACATGTGCTGGTCTGGAGGCTTTTTTTGTGACAAGAGAGATCTCTGTTGCCTGAGATCTGTAAAAGCTCTCCTAGTCCTATCGCCCTGCCTTGCACTACGCGTTTTGGATGTTCCCGTGGGTGTTCGCCTGCTCTGTCTCCAGATTTCCAGAGGCAGCATTGGCTGCTTTTAACTGAGCAGCTTACAATTTATAAGCCTGAAAATTATTTATCACAGAATGTCAGGGGTTGGAAGGGACCTCAAAAGATCATCTAGTCCAGCCCCCTGCCAGAGCAGGATCACCTACAGCAGGCCACACGTTTATGGAAGGTCAGTGTTTTGGAAATCACTTGCCCAAAATTGTAAATTTTGTCGCTTTCCGAGTGAATGTCTACGATCGACGTTTAAATAGAAAACAAGTAAGTACTCGGCGTTTAAAGCAAGTGAAGGGGGATAGCGAGAAGAATTGCAAGTAAGCCCAACCCTGCAAACCCAGATCTGTTTCATTCTGCAGTATGAAATGAAGTCACATCTGTCTCCTCCATTTCAGGCAGAGCTTTATTTTTTTCCCCTTGTTTTTGAAATATGCCTGAATTGGATGTGGTTTTGCTCTGTGTTGAGCTCTTGGGGAAAACAAATGTCAGTTGCTGGTCTGGATGGCAACCAGCTCCAGCAGATGCGAGGCCTTGGAGGTGGCTGTGGCAAATTCTGGCAGCTCTGAAGTTCCCACTGAGGACGTTGGCTGAATGAATCCAGAAGGGTGTTCAGATTCTTGTGACCTCACTAATTGAAACAGAGTATGTTCATCCTCCCACAGCAAACTTCTAAGAGGGATGAAATATGGTAGTTTGTACTCAGTTCTTTTGTCGTTTTTTTGCAAGCTTAGGAAGTTTCATCTCCTTTGTGTAGCCTTGGCTGGGGTGGGGGGGAAGAATCTCACAAGCTAATATTGTAAGGGGAAAAAAAAACTCCACAGAAATATGTATATAATAATAGATTCATCCTGGGAAGTGTCCCTTGGCCTCTGTTCCTCTGTGTAAAACTCTGAACACTTTAAACAGACCGAGATACCCCCAGAAGTACCACCAAGTGCCGGCTCGCAGCCGCCTTCCTGGAGGTGCAGGAACATTCAGCAACTGCAAACTTTGAAAAACCCAAAAGGGAAAAGCAATGTTGTCAAGGGGGCTGGGCTGGCCACCGAACGCTGACAGATGTTCTCGAACCCCTGTCCCTCCTCAAAAAGAAATGAGGCAGAGAGAGGGGCTGGAAAAGAAGTTTATAGTGAAGCTTCCCATACTAGATGTGGATGGAGACTTGAGTGCAGCTTGCCAGTACCTCAAGGAAGGTGTTGCGGTCTTTCCCCTTCCTCTTCTGGGTGTTGGAAGAGGCTTTGTCGTGGAGGTGGTGTACCCAGAGTTTCGATGCACTGTCTGTGAGGAGTAAGCTCCTCACCTGTAAGGTTGACAGGAGGAAAGAAGAGTTCTTCCAAGTCAGCGGGGGCAGTTGTGGCCAAGCAGAGGGATCGCAGGGATCCAAGCTGTGAATCGTCTGCTTGAGCCCTTCAGCAGCAAGGGGGAGCGTGGTGCTGGCGGGGCAGAAAACCCTGAGCTGTGAAGGGAGAAGTCTGACCAATCGCTTTTTCTTGCTTTCTCCTTTGTTTCTGTTGGAGCTTTGTGTATCGACACGGGGTTTGCCTTAGTGCAAGGGGTGCTGCAAGGGGACTGAGATGTGTCACTGGAAATCTTGTACCAGTGTCCCACCAAACTGGTTCATCTAATTCCACCTGGTCTCACTTGACATGTTTTTCCTTTCGTGTGTAGCCCAGCATGGATGTGCTGGTTTGGTATTTCTGAGCGTGGAGGGTTGACCTTGGGGCCAGTGTGTCCCTCAGCTGCTCACTCCCCATCTTGAACAGGTCAGGGGGAGAAAAAAAGATAAAGTGGTTCGAGTTGGAAGGGACCTTAAAGAACATTTTGTTCCAACCCTCCTGCCCTGGGCAGGGACACCTCCCACTAGCCCAGGTTGCTCAGAGCCTCATCCAGGCTGGTCTTGAACACTTCCAGGGATGAGGCATCCACGATTTCTCAGTGCATCCCATGTCAGTGTCTCATAATCTTCCTAATGTCTAATCTAAACCTACTCTGCTCCAGCTTGAAACCATCGGCCCTTGTCCTATCGCCACACGCCCTTACAAAAAGTTCCTCCCCAGCTTTTCTGAAGACACAGGATAAAGCTCATGGGCTGAGGTAAAGACAAGGGAGATCCCTTTCACCAAGTCACCAGTGTTGTCCTTCAGAACTTCACTTGGCACCAGGACTGGATTTAACCATACAAACCCTTTTCAGAGGGTTCTGCATAACAAACCACCGGGTCAGCTGCAAAGACAGAATTGGTGGTGGAAAACGCCAGGTCTAAAACTGAGTAGAACTTTGGTTTCTCTGAAGGTGTATGCCCTAAACCTTACCAGCCCTGGTGTCTTGACCTCAAAAATTCATGTGCCCAGCATGAAGACCGCTTTGCCAGGGCTGGCTGAGGTCATCAGTCTTCACTTGTGACCCACCTGACATAGCTGGTGGTGGTTCATGAGCCAGCCCACCCACTAGTTAATTTAGCTTGTTGCACTCTATCCTATTTACGCTACAGAATTACCATGTTATTTTGTACAAGTAGCTTTTTTTTTTTTTTCGCCCCTAAAAGCTGGCAAGTACTAGATCCACTGATGCTGGGCAGCACCACACAATTTACATACCCTACTGCAGGCAACCTCCTCCCTCAAAAGAGCCAGCATTCAGCCCTCGCCTTCCCACAAATCTCTGTGCCTTTCAGTAATAATAGTTTGGTTTTTTTTTTTAATAAAAAGCAAAACAATCTTTTCAACAATAGTTCTGCATACCCATTTGGGAATTTCTCTCTAGAGAAACTGCATCACTGCAGTGTTCCTGACGCGATTTTTATTTATTGTAACTTTGGGAAATTTTTTTTTATAGTCCAACATACTTTGATCTTTTAAAATAGCGTGTTCCTTGTGTGTCTCTGTAGCGTTGCTCCTCTGCCAGTCTCTGATCTTACCTGCCCAACCCACGTTTTTGCTTTCTTGGAGCAAATCTGGAGTGTGCCGGCTCAGGGAGTTGCTCGAGCTTTGTGATTTAAGAGCAGGTCGGTGTATTTGTGCCTTCAGCCTAAGAGACGCCGTTCGTACTATCGTAACAGGGACGATAGTTTCCTGGTAACTTTACCACACCATCCAAATTAGGGTGTTGTGTGAGACATCTCCCTTCCTGATGGATTTAGGGCACGTTGTTGCCCTGTTTTTTGAAGCGGGAGGTTTTTGTTCCTTAGCAACGTTGCCACAGTTACTTGGGTCATTGTTCACACCCAGGCAGAGATGTTGGTCGCTTGTCTCTCGCTCTGACTGACCATGACAGAAACTGCCAGTTCAAGCAGCTAAGATTCCCAGAGCAGACTAGATCTAAGTTACTATTGCTGATAAGTAATACTTTGAATATTCTCTTATCTTTTTGTCCCCTCTCTTCTTCCCAGGAATGTGAAGAGCGGGCGTGCTAGGCTCCTATGTTGATCACGTATCTGACTGAAGCTGGAAAGAACTACAGAAAGTCTCTGTCTCACTGTCACTTTTCATACAAAACATTTATTTGAAAAAGTTGCATATAAAGTTCTACACGGGACGGTTACCATTTCTATAGTATAAAAAAAACCCCAAAACCAAATGAAAAACCCAGCTCTGTCACTCAAAGGGTAAAAGGGTTGCTCATTCTCAACAATCCACATCTAACAGACGTCGACGTGCGCTGGTAGAACACCGTGGACAAGCTGCAGGAGTAAAGTTCATCAGCGAGAAAAGGTTCAAGATGTACATATTTACATCATCATCTGACACACGTACTTTTTCCCACCACGGCCGCAGAACCACCTTAGCTCTTGGACTGGATCTCGTCTCTACCCTGTTTCTGTGCCAACACGGCTATCGAGGCTGCAGGTGTTCTTGTAGAATTTTTCTTAACGGCCTTGGTCCATGGCTAATGCCCTGGCGCTGCTGCACAAAACCGAGGGACGGCTTGGTCTGTTACTGGCTCCCCAGGGAAGAGAAAGCCAACGAGAGCAGATCCTGCATAAAACACCTCCCCTCATCTTCCACTCTGAGGAGAAACACAATCTGGGGAAGGATGCCCTTCTAGGTGAAAAGAGCTTCTGGACTGAAAGCTGCCCGTGAAGAATTTTTAATTTTGCATAGTGATTGTCTGAAGAAGTCATCTGAAACGATCGGAGCAAGTTCTGCTGTCAGATTCGCATTAGCTCTTCTGACCCCTCCCATGTTTCTGAGCGAAGAATTCCACTCTTCAAAAAGTACAAAGTTCAATTTCTAAACTTCTCAAAGAAAGCAAAAGCAGATGGCTCAGTATATAAATATATCCAGCATCTGGATTCTCAGTCACAAAAATAACATCCTTTATACAACAGAAAAATGGGTTGACTATGGAGCGATTCGCCGTCGATCTTAAGATCCAACATCTTCATTGACAGTTTCGTCTTCATCCTCTTCCTCGTCATCCTCCCCCACCTCTCCATCCCGCTTCTCTTTTTCAAGCATTTTTAGGTACTTGCTAGCTAGGATCTTCTTTGGCAAGATATCTGGAATGTAGAATTGTTTCTTTTATAGCCAGTTTGAATACTTACATTGCCTCATTAATACTGCTGCATCCGTACCACTAATGAAACAAAGCCGGAAAGAGGCTTTGTGAAAAACATTATTATTTAAGCGAATAACCAGGTAAGTCAGTCTGACCTGTACAGCTCTAAGAATAAGCAGGAACAACCCACTTATGGTAGGAGCAACCAGATATGAGGGATGTATTTTACGACTCATTACTGGCAACTGTCTTCACTATCTGCTCATGTACCTTATTTATGGGATGTAAACCAGAGTGCTCTCAACAGCTTTAGACAGATTCAACAAGCCAGCTCTCCCATTTACGTTCTGTAGAAAAGTTTTTCTGCAGTAAGGTATTTGTTCAGGGCAATAATGATGGACCTGAGAGAAAAAGGAACCGTGTGCTCTCTAAGGACGCCCACAGGGAACTCAAAGAAAGACTGGGCTGGAAATATCTTACTCTCAACCTATATCCTATGCCAATACCTTTTCTAAACTAAGTGTTACAACAAAAATCCAGGTGTCATTAAAAGGGCAGGTGCACATACATATATATAAAACACCAGAGGAACCATTTGATGGATCAGTTTGAGAAACAAGCCTGACAGATGGAAATGTGCAGTTTTGGGGCCACATAACTTCTCACATAAAGGGGTGCACTGATCTTGTTTTATAGGCTGAAAGCTTTCAGATGGAGTTGCTGGAATTTTGAGAAATTCTTAAGGCAATATGCTGAGAACTAGTTAGCTTTGTATAATTTTGAAGCACCAGAAAGATCTCCGTGGACAATGAAATGCTTTCAGCGATGTAGTTTCTAAGTTCCAGCTGAATGTTATACAGGAGTTTCATGACCAGTAGAACTGTGTCACAGAATCATTAAGGTTGGGAAAGACCTCCAAGATCAGGTCCAACCACCAACCCAACTCTCGGCCTGGTGCTGCATAAACCTGCTCATGATAAGAAAAACCGAAATTCCACTGATGGCACCAACTCTCGGTGACTGAGCTGACCATGTCCTCGCAAAACAATTCAGTGAGAGCAAGATTTAATTTTCCAAATTACGTATTGGATTTAGCATCATAGATGCTCTACCGGGTCAGGCTGTGGTGGAGTTCATCCTCCCACAGCAGCTCTCAGTGCAGTTTTTGGAGTGGTAGCTAGAAGGGTGTCAATAGCACCCCAGGGTTTTGGCTACTACTGAGCAGTGCTAACACAGCACCAGGCTGTGGTTTTCCAACGTTCCCCCAACAGCAGG